CCTACCCCACCCGCCGTATTCTCCAGACGTTGCTCCCTCTGACTATCACTTGTTTCGATCAATGGCACACGGCCTGGCTGACCAGCACTTCCGGTCTTATGAAGAAGTAAAAAATTGGATCGATTCGTGGATAGCCTCAAAAGATGACCAGTTTTTTCGACGCGGGATTCGTACGCTACCCGAAAGATGGGAGAAAGTAGTGGCCAGCGATGAACAATACTTTGAATCATAAATGTATAACCAGTTTTTTACAATAAAGTCTCGAATTTCGGAAAAAAAATGGCGGAAGCAAAGTTGTACACCTAATAGTAACTTTTTAATATACTTTGTATTTGCAGCTACGCGATCTAATTATAATATTCATTTTTCTTTCTTCTCTTCGAGAAAGATCATGAATCAGATCTAACCGCTCCTTCACCAGCATTTACTTAAAAATTTCCAATCATATTTAAATATATTTCCAGTCGTATAGGGGAAAAAAACAAGTTACAATTTTTGATTAGCATTTTTTTCGTACTAATGTATACATTTAAATTAATGAAAATCTATGCATTGCTTCAAGTACATCTTTAACTAGATAGTCAATTTGAAGTGTAACAACTTGCCCGAACCTTCCATTTTCAATTAAAAAAAAAAAAAAAAAAAAAAAAAAAAAAACAAATCGAAAATCAATACATATATCAATTCAAATAAAATATGTTATTGTAATCAAATGTAAATAAAAGAAATAAGATAAATCCGGGTTATAGACTCTCTACGTTTTTTAAAACGTTTTTTAAAACGTTGGCATTATAACTTCCTTTTCTTTAAACAAAATGTTTTTAATAAAAAATTAAATATTAAAAAAAATTTTTTTACATGGTTTTTTTACTATCCCTATAGAGCAATTATTCGATAAATCCCCCATTAGCTTGAATGACTTTATTCTCGGTCTGAAGCGTTCGCACGCACGTTGTAATGTAGCGCTATCTGACGAATGCTGCCTCAATAGCGATCCTTAATGACGTCACATTGAGATGCCGAAACTTGTATGTGACCCTTACAACTACGCTCCATACATAGTAATCCAAGGGATTTAGATCTGGGCTGTTGGGAGGCTAGAATTTCTTGGACCAAGACGTTGTTTTTTTTGACGTTGTCTGAGAGCCAATTTTGAGTCAAATGACTCGTATGAGCCGATGCACCGAACAGCTGAAAAACATATAGCCACAGTTTCCATCTACGGCTTCATTTATCAGAACGCGCAATGATTGGGTCATCCAAAATCAGCGCTTGAATCCTTTTAACGATTGCGGGGATCCTCGCGATGTATTCTTTCGAGTGACTCTTTTTCGCTGACATACTGGAACCTTCGTTGAACTATTCTAAAATCGTATATTTTGCCATAACGTCATAAACGGTCTCGGATATCCAAAGATCCGAATTATTTCTGTTGCTGAGCACCCAGCGTGAAGGCCTTCAATAATCGCGGATCTTCGATTATACTCCGCACTTGGTTTCAATCTTGCGGCTATTTTGAGAATATATTTATTAGAAGCATCAGACTTTCTCGGACGCCAACAACTTTTGCGGTGGAGGAACAATATAGCGGAAAATTTAAATTGAAATTTGTCCGGATTTTGATGACGTACCCTATAGATTAACGAAACAAACATTGTTGTGTATTATTTGACTTCCCTACAATAACTTTACATAGGTTTTTTAATGAAAATATAAAACAATAAATAACTAAAAATTTCCAAAAGAAATGTAAAAAAATTCTTCGTGAAATTGTCTGGGACATAAGCTCCATGTTATAGAAATGCAAGAAAATCACTTTTTAAACTTTTTTTCATACAAAAACTCATTCAAGAAATATAATTATTTATTTTCTTATTCTGAGAGATTATAAAAAAAATGTTTCTTTAAGAATAAAAAAGAATCGTATAAGAATATAAAAAAAATGTAGGAATTTTTATTTTTTCAATATAGTCACTGATTATCTAGTAGCATACTTGGCACTGCATAATCAGCGAAATTCAACTAAGTATGCCTTTCAACAAGCGACAGTGTACAATAATTTATTGTTCGCCCATGTTAAACAAGGTGATTATTATCAAATGAGATGACCATTGTGTTGCATTGAGTTACTTGTTGAAAGGCACATTAAGAAAGAAAAATAGATTTGAGTATTATAACTTAAAATAATGATATTTGCATGTTAATTTCAATCTTTAATACCATCTTTAATACCATTTATTGAATTTATACACTATAAAACAAGATTAGTTAGATATAATAAAGATTAGGAATACACATAATAAAGATTAGGAATCTCACATTCATTACCAAGATCATATTTGGCACTGATATCAATAATTATTCACTTTCAGATTTAGAGAGTACCTACAATGAGTAAGTTCGCCACAATTCGTAACTTCAGGATTTATGTCCCGAACAAAAGATGGAGTTTATAAAGATACTGCACAAAGCCTTGTTATAGTTTTTCAAGATTAACTTGAAATATTGCGTCCAACACGAAAATCTCCTTCTAAAACGTTCCCATGATTAGATGTAATAACGTAGTCGCAGAAATAACTCAAAATTTGAGAATAAATTGAATTCGAGGAAATCCCAGCAAACAAGAATGGATTAAAATGGATTCAGATTTTCAGAAATATTGATTTACAAATGTTAAAATGAATGCTTTTCAGTCCTGAATGCATTTTTATTCATTTATAGGAATTGCAAGGAGCATATCTCTATGCCTTTCAATCTAAAAATAATATTAGCTTTTTCTGTGCATACACAACATATTGTGAATACTTTAATTCAAAATTTTGAATAGGAAATGCAGTTTTTCAATCAAATTGCATCCAATTAAATCCAAAAAAAATATTCGCTATTTAAAATAAGCATTCGGATAGAAAAACAATTCAATCTATTTTAATCCATCTCGTTTGCTGGGCTGTTTAGCTAATTAGAAAGAAATACAAACTCGTGTAAAAATTCGTGTACTTGTTTCTATGTGTTCACTCATTTTAATATGTATAAATTACATGGATATAATAACGTTTTCATATAAATTTATGCGATATTCACACAGGACATATACACATATATACTGAAACAAGGACAGTTCGAAATCAGATTTTTTTTTATCATGCGTCAGCAGTCTAATTATAAAAGTCTGTAAAATGTGTGAAATGGTGCGAACTTATAAAAAAAAAGATAAACAGAGGATCTGTAAATGTAGAAACATATGCGGCAAAGGAAGTTAAAGATGACCATTTATCTATGAAAAAAGCAGCAAATGCATTTAATATTAATTTTATGACTTTCCTGATGTTAACTTAATAACTATTTAAAAAAAAATTGTTTGTATTAATATATTTTTTATAAAGTTTATATTGTAAAATAAGTATTCCTTGTGAAGTATTTTGTATTTGAATCTTTATTGTAATCTTGAATTTACTTATACATATATATATATGTATA